CAAACATGCAATTTAGTCTAGGACTAGCCTTAAAGGTCCCGTGAAATTAAAATACATTTTTTAAGGTTTTAGTATAAGTAATTTTAAGGATATCTTTAAGCTAGTGCACTCCAAAACAGTGAAAATTCACATTTTTCACTTCTGCCTAAATTTCACCTCACCTCAAATCATGACCAATCAAATGCTCTTTAGTACCCTTCAAGACGCTTCTCATTTGCATTTTATTAGATGCGCTTGAGCTTAGCCACTCTCACTGAAAGCGCTGTGATTGGACTGGATGGCTATTTTTTTAAAAGGGGAGGAGCTATTCTATTTCCAACTCTCGCTTTGTGTTTTAGTGGAGATGGCGTCAAACATCAAATAAAAATGCCAGCCTGATCTCACGAGGAAACTTAATTATTTTACATTTTATCAGTTTAGTGGCTAATTTGTATCAACTTGTACGAGTTCACAAGTTTAAAAGGATTCATGGCACTCAGCCCTGCTCGTAAACCAAACCATCACTAGCTACGTTTCCATCCAAAAATGAGAATTAACTTTATGAGCAAAACTGAAATACCGCATTAAAGATGTGCGAATGAAGCAGCGTTTCCCACCAACAAGCCAAAAACAAAATCGTCACTTCTTGAATAACTGGTACCAAATATCAACAATAAAAACGGAATTTGCTGCAGTAGGTGAAGCTGCATGAATCTTTTACTTATTTAATAAATGACTTGCGCCACAGAAGACGATGTCGACACGCAATAAACGCGTGGTGACGTTTGAAGGCGTGAGAGGCGGTGCACAGACGCTCTTGACAGTTCTGGAATTAATGGTATAATAACACATACTGAAATGGTTAAGGCAACATTTCAGATGTTTTTCAATGTACTCAGTGGTTTGTCAGTTCACACACATTTTTACAATCACATGACTTTTTTAATGCGGATACTGAAATTTGTTCAGTAAAAGTGTTTCCATCGTAGTTTATGTGCATCTTTTCTTATCGAATAAAAAGTTTATCTTACTAATATATTTTTATGCGCATTTAGAATTTATTCGCATCTTGGTGTTTCCATCAGCCAATTTGTTTTATGCGTATATCCAAAAAGTGCATTAAATCAGGTGGATAGAAACATAGCTACTGAGGGATGAGCAAATCGTACTAAATGGTACAAATTAGATTTAGTGAATTCAACTGAATTAGCCACTAAATCAAAAAGTTACGAACTGCCATGAGATTGTGTTGAAAATGCATGTTTCAATGCACTACACGGGACCTTTAAAGCCATGTCTGTGAATTCAGGCGAAAGTGTTTTCTGTCTCTTTTGTTCACCCAAAACTCAGATGCAACAAATAGTTTATAAACCAACAGTATTAAAAAAATTTATTCAAATAAATTTAGTGATTTAATTGCGAAGGTTAAGTCTTCTGAGGGGTCACCTTTACAAGAAAAAGATTTAATTTTAGCATTTTATCCACATTTCAACATTAATTGCAAATGTAAACAGAAGCTAACCCTACCTGCATGATGCCCGAGAACAAAACCCTAGCAGAAGCTCAAATGTGATGTGACATAGAAGTATATTTTTTGCTGCTCTCAATCTTTATATGTGAATAAAAACTAAATTACATCAATTTATCACAGAATGGATTAAAACACTCAATTCCTTAAGTCTTATATGAATATTTTTATCAGATAAGACAGATTTGGGTGAACAAACTATCAATGGAGGGACATAAATCTCTCAGATTTGATTAAACATATTCATTTGTGAACAAATTCCTTATAGCTTTGGATTGAAGCAACATGAGGTTGAACAAAACGAATTTTCCATTTTTGGGGTGACTTTATTAATCTCAACTGAGAATTCATCAAGCGCCTCATTATAATTTCCATACAGAAATGACTCGATGTCTTCAGGCCTGCCCACAGACCCAGCGAAAGCAATCATAGTGAATGGAACTAAACAGCATTACCCAAAATCTGGGCTAGTCTGCACTGCATAGATTTCTCATTTTTAGCACATGCGGGGGCTTACTGTCTACACCGAAAGAGCACGCTGGCTCATAAATTATTTCTCAATTATTAATTCCTCTGCATATCGCACATTATTTCGATCCGTATGCAGCCCTCAGCAGCGTTCATCTCAGGCATGTTGGCACCTCGTAAAAAAAAATAATGAAGGGAAGGTAAATACGCGATTGGGGTGCAAATGAGATACTCGTGTTCAGAACGCTCACGTGATTAATTCGCCACTAATTCAGAGGCAGCCTACTGTAGACGAGGCTGTGAAAAACTATAAATGTATTGATTTTATTGAACTGAGAGCCATGAATGTATAAAAGGCAAGGAGGCAGAGTGGAGTCTTAAATACACAGCTTCTCCATTACACCACTGAAAAACAGGCTCTCAAAACCTATGGCTTATGAGAGCTATCTATCGTAACAAACAAAAAAAACACAAGACTGATGATGATGCACACCGTCCATGAACACAGCACGCATGAGCAGAGTGAAATCGTAAGATAGGGTTAAACAAAGATGGTATCCAGCAATGATTAACCCAACGGAGTTAAAAAAAAAACATGCAGTGGGAAGCATATTAACTTGGTTTAAAAAAAAAAAAAAAGAGTAAATAAATATCCTTCGCTTAGTGCCTGATTTATCACTAGTTGCCACAGCAGAATGAACCACCAATTATACTGGGAAATGTTTTAGGCAGCTGCATAGTTCCAACCACAAACCAGAACTGGGAAACACCACTACACTTTCAAATTCACACACAGACTGCGGCCAATTTTGTTCATCCAATTCACTTACAGCGCATGTCTTTGGACTGTGGGGAAAAGCACCCAGAGGAAACCCACGCAAACATGCAAACAGAAATGCCAGCTGGACCAGTCGGTACTCGAACCAGCTACCTTTTTGCTGTGCGGTAACAGTGCTGAGCCACTGTGCCATCCACTTTCAATAGTTTTCTGTAAAGTAGCTATATTCAATGAACTGTGGACAATAGCTCAAGGTTTTTAATCTATGAAAGGTGACAGATCCCAATGTTTGGTCACCCATGTGTGGGGAAACCCCATTCTTAAATGTAAAAGGCACCTGTATTGTTATTATATATTAAAATTAATAGTATTTTTTTATGTATAGTTAATAATAGTACATTAAAACTGATATTTCGAAAATAATTTGGAAACCATTTAGATACAATATTACATTTTTCAACTCTCTATTGTATTTATTACTGTATATTTACACATCTATTTTACCCTAACTGAATTATTATTCTTGATGCAATGTGTTTGTATTTGTTTTGAATTATTAATTTGAATCTTGTTTTATCTTTGATGTATTATTTTATAATAAAAACAGTTTGTTTCCTTATATTGTGTGCATCTTTCTATTTTTCCTTCATTTTGATCCTATTTTACATATTATTAACTAAATTACTTGTTTTTAATCAATTTGTACATTTTTGTACATCTTTTCCCTAAAATAAATTACCCAACAACACTCTAGCACTTCATCGAAGAAATTGCATTGTAATATCAATTATGCAAAATAAACAAGTAAAAAACTTATTGTGAACAAACCCATAATTTACATTAAATATTTGAGGCTTACAGTCAATGTTACATATCTGAAATTTAAAGTAAAATGTTTAAGTAAACACAGCCAAGTTTTAATGACCTGTAGTATTATTATTATTATTATCATTATTATTATTAGCAGTACATGTTAATAAACAGATCAATAAAATATCACGTTTGTCTAATAACAATAAATAATTTAATGACATATATCGTTACAAAGTCTCCCAGCGAACAAATTTGTGTTTAATAGACGTCTATTAGACATCTAAACATAGACAGCTTGGCTAAAACAAGGCTTGGGCTGTCAGTGAAAATCTAATAGACATCTAAGAACAGCCCAAAACTAGACTAGTCGTCAAACAGACCGATTAGACAGACTTTATATGTGCAGTCATTCATTACTGTTTATTTTATGATTAGTCTAATTTTGGCCTATTCTTAAACGTCTATTAGATTTTCACTGACAGCTCAAATTTAGCCTTGTTTTAGCCAAGATGACTATGTTTAGACGTCTATTACACATCTTTAAAAATGCTTGCTGGGCTGTTTCTGTAACTTATGTAGACAGGTGGATAAGATACCTGTAACATCACCACTGTATTTAATTTATACAGATAATGGTAAGACAATTATTCAATGATTAGTGTAAACACGTTTGTACAGTACAGAAAACCTAAGCTGATCTAACACTGGCTAAAGTCTGTGCCCCTCAAACGGACCACAGAGGATCATTGTAGCTGATGTTTTCCTGTCACACGTGGCTCTATCAAGCACATGCACTTACTTTTACAAGACACTGTGACCACAGAGAAGCACTGTCACCATAAACTCTTCGATAGCCCTCAGAGGAAAGCCATAACACCTTTTTGGGAAACTGAAGCTACTGCTCGTTTTGTTTAGATCAGCTCTAAACAATGCATAAATCACAAGAGCTCGGTTTTGCATGCTGTTTTTTTACAATTTGACTGCAGCATTGTCATGCAGCAGACTTTAAATTGAAACAGTCCATCAGCGTTAGAAATCACCGTGCACAGTGGGTGCAATATCAAAGCAGGCTGACTGGAAAGGAAAAGACAGTGGGTGCAAGCATATCTCATTTAAATGCAAAGAAAAATGCGCCTGTAAAAGCAAACAGCCGGCTGATGGACGAGAGATCGAGGAGAAACGAATTTTTCAGAAAGAGAATCGCAGACAGATGGTGTGTGCTGGCGGACAGTCGCGCTTTAGTGACTCGAATGCAGCCGGACAGTGCGCCGTTATTTTTGGATGAACAGTGTCCGGTGCGAGAAGAGAAGCTACTGAGAGACTGTAATAAATCGCACGCGCGTCAAGCCCCTTTTCCTCCGCATTCAACTAGGCGTAGCAGCGCAGTTGTGAAGGGCAGAACTCTCCCTCCCCTGTGACTCTTTACCCCCTCACCTGGCACGTCGTCCTCAAAATCCATATCGTCTTGCCCCTCATCTTCATTGCTGAGCGATCCGGGCATCTTTACCGCATAACAAGAAAATCACATCCGAGACAGAGGAATAAAAGTCCTGAAACTTAACCCTCTGAATGCCCAGATCTGCTCGGGAGACGTCCAAATGAAGGTGAGGCTTAATTTTCTTTTAATCTGCTCTCAATCAAATAAAAGATGGCTGCCCCGTTTTTTTGACAAAAAACATTTTCCCTTTCTCCCTCTTCTCTATCCAAATCCTCCAGTCTGAAAATAAGAAAGAGACAAAAATGGAACACACATGCCCAGATTGTGACGTCTGGTCGGTTGCCATGGCAATCCATCCCATAGTTTCCCCGACACAACTAGTTAGTGCTGTTCGTCTGGTCACCGGCTTAACTAGCGAGAGCGGCGTGCACTCCCGTCTGGCGTTGCCCTTTTCCCGCTCAAGTTCGAGGAATCTGAGGTTAAACCGGGAGAAAGTTCCCTCACGCTGCCTTTTCAGCCAGACGAGGAAAACTAAAGCAAATTATTTCGTTCTGCTCCTTTTTTAATTTGAGAAATTTAGGTCGGACATCTTATATTCAAGGTCACGCCTGAACGCTCATCCCTCACGACTTTTATAGTTTATAGCTGTTTTAAGAGGACTTAAAGAGACAGTTCACTCAACAATAGAGGGGCAGTTCATTTACTTAACTTTAACTGGCGGATCATTCCGCTGTGGCGACCCCGGAATAATAAAGGGACTAGCCGACAAGAAAATGAATGAATGAACGACGTCTGTCCCCGAAGACTAATTGACAGGGTTTCTGCACTGCAGGTTTCATCAAGTCAAATAAGACTTTTAAAGACCCATTTTAAGGCCATTATAAAAGAAATTTTAGACTTATACAGGGCTAAACATACAGGGCTAAAAATGGCCTGTTTTGCCACAAATAAGGAATATATTCTTAGCGACATACTTTGTGTCAAAACAAGAAAACTCTAGTTGTAACATTTTTTTTAACATATTTCTTTTGTGACAAGTTTATAATTGTTAAAATTATTTATTGTGGAGACAATAATAAAATCATATATTTGGCAGCTTTTGGTCCAAATTGATTGAGTATAACTTTCAACCTAATGCGTTTCTGTTTGTTTTATGGCCGTTTATAAATATTATGTCTGCTCCCCCTTAATCATGTAAATATATGAATATAAGATAATGTAAATGTATGTTGTTATTTTATCATCATGAGGAACTGTGTAATTATTTTATAATTATAATATATATATGTTTTTAATTATTTAATAATTATTTCCTTTTCCTGCTTTTATTAAGATGGTATGTTGGTGATTGGATGGATGTTGGCCTGATTGGGTAGCTTTACTTGAAAAGAGGAATATTAAGACCTGTTTAAAATGACTTAAGACCTACACTATATTTCAGTGAATTTAAGACATTAGGGCAACAAAAAAATTGTTTTTGAAAATTAAGACATTAAGACCCTCCGGACACCCTGAATTAAGTAATGTTAAGGACTCACCATTATTTTCATTGAAAAATATTTAAAGTAACTAGAGGTCATTATGCTATTTATTTTTAATTATGAATATTTTAGTTACTGTACGGCATGTTTAATATATGTGTGTGTAATATATATATATATATATATATATATATATATATATATATATGTATTTTTTTTTTTTTAAAGACTTGCATAAAAGCATCTAGCCTAATTCATTCTCGTGAACCTCCTTCAGGACAACCCGTGAATCACGAGCCGTTGCCAAGGATACGGTAGCGAGACGCTGTACGTGATCAAACGAGACAAAGACATTAAAATAATCTGGAGAGCAGACAGCAAAAACCTTATGAAAACCCATATGAATAACAATCTTTAGCAAAGCAACCTAATTCTCCTCCTCCAGACAGTGTGCTTTAGACACTACGTTTCAACAGTTGAGCTTGTGAAGCTGGGAGATCGATCAAGCATGTTAGCCTGTTTTCTGAACATCATGCAAGTTTTATCTGACAAACGAACTCTCTGAACTCTGTTATAGCACAAACTTTATTGTTGCTATGGAAATTATTGGTCCAGCCTGACTTGGAGTCCTGTATACATTAATGCAGTAAATGAACAGACTCTAAAAATAGAAAGAAATGCACTATTATAAATCAAGCAGATTTATCTAGCACTCTCACTCCTTGAGAGCATTATGCACGTTTTAAAATATGCTGAAATGAACACAGCAGAAGCAAGGAAACTGATTTCTTTTGGAAATTTATTACATTTACAAAAGAGTGGCATGGATTTAATCTTCATCCTCCTCCTCCTCGTCCTGGTTGATCTGGAAGTAGCGCAGTTCGTAGCTTTCCTTGGTGTTAGCTACTACACGCAGCCAGTCACGCAGGTTGTTCTTCTTGAGGTACTTTTTGGTAAGATACTTCAGATACCTGAAAATAACAAGTTTGCGTTAAGATTTTATTGCAGTAAACATTCTAGATAGTCACAAATGTCCACAAAATCTGAATAAATATGCACACTGTCAAGAACAGACTTTGTAGTCTGTTTGGTTTAATGATTAAAAAAATAATGATTCCTTTTAAATGAGGCTTGAAATAGTCAATCCCAATAATAGCATTGGGGAAAAAAATGCTTGCTAAAGCTAGAGATGTAAAAGGTAAAAAATAAGTTTGTAAATAATAATGCCCATTTCTTCCACAGTCTGACAGTTTTGCTTCATAAAATAAAAGCTTTTATACCCTTAGTGCCAGTAACCAATGATTAGCATTGACTTTACGATACACCAAGGGCCACAGTTGTTGTGTGTATTGTGCTATATTTTACAGAAGAATGGTCAACTACTACTTGGATCGCCTGAGGGTAAGTATTAACATATCTATTTAACTCAAAGTAATAATACTCAGTTTACAAACCAAGGTGTAAGACTATTATCTTAACATCTTGCTTCTCAGGCAAACATTTGATTAGGACAAGATGACATATAACATCCGTTTTTAATTTAGTGTAACAAAAGTGCAAAATAGTAACTTTAAAAATAATGCTTTATATATATATATATATATACAAATATATATATATATATATATATATAAAGCCTTGCCTTAAACTTGACATCACAAGTGGAATAACACTCATCCAAAAAACATAGTAACGTCCTCTAATTCAATCGTAAGTCAAATATAAACGACAGCAAACCAGATACATTTAAAATATTTATAGGCCAGACATTCTTTTTTCAGAATTGTTAATGCAAAAAACGAACTACTTTAATTAGGATTCTTACATTAATGGATAATTTAATTATCAATAAACACCACTTATATAATCCTTTCTATATGATAGTCCTTTCAAAAAGCATCTGTTTGCAAAAATAACAGTAAGTGTGGGATGTACTTTACAAAGTATCACAATAAGAAAGACCGCACTGAACACTGACTGCAATGAACCTTCTCTCTTGGTCACCACGAGTGCTCTTTTCCTTTAGTTCTCTTTATCAGTGTATTGCGTTTGAATCATCAATCTTCAGAATATTGCTATTATTGTAAACAATCAATTATGTCTCAAGTGAAAGCCAGCAGTTCCAGGGAAAAAGCTGCTGTGTAACAAAACAGATGCATGATCTTAAAGACTCTGTGCAACTTTTGTGTATATTATAATTAATTTTAATAATTGAGGCATCGAGAATAGGTTCCCTCTAAATCATAATGGACACAAAATAAGTGAACACTCAACTCTGCAGCAACTTTCAAAATGATATGACGTCAAACATACTAACAATAAAAAAGGCAGCTAATAATAGAACAGCTCTTCTGTAAAGCCTTTGCCAATAAGCAGTCCGTAGCTCCACTTTCCATTAAGAGTTTATACAAAACAATTTTGACAGTACCTTAAAAACATGTCATCATATTATCTTTTAAAGAAATCAAGTATGAGTCAAAACCAACTCAAACCCGTGAATGAATAAGCAGTAAACACTGCTGCACAGCACTTTTAATTAACAAAATATGTGAGCCTTTAGTTACAATGACGAAAATGTATTGTTGTTAAATGTGTGTGTGTGTGTGTGTATATGCATGATTCATCAACAAACTGGCAAAGGAAAAAAAAAATACTAGGAGGAAAATCTTAAATCAAACCATGCCGACTGGATTTAATGCAGACTAGATTTAAATGAAAAAAGCATCATCATGCAAGGAAGAAATCACAAAGCATATTTATGATGTACATTTTTGTACACATCTTGTTACATTATCGATAGATTGTGTTCAGTTCAATAACTTAACTGACATTTTTTTTTTACAAAAATCTGACATATGTACCCTTCCTTCACAAGTAGGGTACTTCTAGAACAGAGATGCCCAAAGTAGAGCCCGAGGGCCAAAGTTGGCCTATTGTAACCTTTGATTTGTCCCACCATCCCATCTAAGACAGTGAGAAGGATGGAGAGGGTTGGAGCAAATGCCTTTAAAAGAGCTCGTCACTTCTAAATTAACCAATTTTGTTTGTTATATTGCTGAGCTACAAAAAAGCTAACTGAAATGAAATGTTTCAATTAAATATTGTAAATGAAAATTATTTTTTGTAATGAATGTAAACAGTCACTCAACAGACAGAACTATTCACAAGACCTCAGTGAGCAAATCAAGGCAAAAACAAGCGTCACTCCATTCTGTTGTAAATGAGTTTTTGTATTCGCTGTAATAAGTTTATTATTAAATGCTAAAGAATTATGCTGTATTATTTCATATAAAGCAATGTTTTCAAGCTATTTTTAAATATTATTAAATAAATTAAAAATAACCTATTGCAACTATATTTTCCTTCAGCCCACTAGTCTCAATCAAAGTTGGGTTTTGGCCCTTCATAAACACACCTGTTCTAGAATGTGACTATATGATCAAACGCACCTCTTGGAGAAGGGGACCTCTGATGTCACTGTGATTTTGCTCTTGCTCCTTTCTATAGAGACCACGCCACCACCCAAGTTCCCAGCTTTGCCATTTACTTTGATGCGCTCCTGAAGGAACTGTTCCTGAAAACAGATGCACACATTCATCAGATCATACAGAAATGCAACCACCAGCTATCAACCATCCTGTCTTTCATTTATCACCTAGTATGATTTTACAAAGTAAATGCATCAGCTTAAACAGTAGCAAAAAAAATCATAAACAATCAATGACTATTCTGTTTGGGGTTAGTTTACAGAACATCAGATATTACAGGCAATGCTAAGACTGCTTGAAAAAAAGGACCAAATATGTTTTGTTCCTCCCTTGTGAGATTCAGATTATGTTAATGATGATGGTGTGCAGCTGCACAAACCACACACACTCTGGTCTTTTCTATTCTACGACACATCCACATGGGGTCCTAAATCTAATACCGGGTCAGGTATATTGCAATGATTTTCACTTTGTACAATTGTTAGCAGAACCAATGTAACATTAAAATGCCTCTAAATAAGCAGTTGCTCATCTCTGCGCTGACAGTAGTTGCTCCACAAATTTCTCACCACCCTCTGAATATGATGGACAGTTGCAAAGGTCTGGAGATTTACAAATTCTAAACAGGGAAATCATACTAGCAACTGCAACCGATGATTATCTGAACTATGCCCAGGCGCATTTCCGATTAGTTTGAGAAGTGTGAGTGCTCTAAATTCGGCTTAGCTCAGTTGGAAGAGGCGTGCCAGAGCGCAGTTCACTTGGGCTTTGGCGCGGTACGCTTGTAGTTTGAGTGTGAAGCGTGCCTGAGCCCGAAACTGAAGCGATGTCACTTTTAGGGGACCGTTTCCTATGGATTTATTAAACATTCTTAATTTTCCATGATTGCAAACGGTTGTGGTTTATTAAAGACTCAAACCCCTCGCTGCACCTTCAGCAAACCTCCTAATACCTGCAGCACGAGGACTTTTATGATAATTTGCAGGGCAAAAATGGTGGATCTCTTTGGCAAACTGTTTGACTGCGTGTCACTGCATCCCAAATGACTTAAAAATAATACACATTGATATAACCAAAGCAATCTCCACTGTGCCGAGTGAGAAAGCCTCTCTTCCTGTTAAACTGAACAGTCACATCATCGATGATGTAAACATCCTCAGGTTTGGTAGGTAAAAATGCAATGTGAGTGCAGAATGAGGGGGAGAGGGGATTGGGGACAAACGCGGTTTGGCACGGTTCGACTGCACCAAATGTGAGTGCAGCCTTTATAAGTGCAGTTGTTTTGAAGTCACACTTGCATGCGATTTCAGACAGAATATTCAAAGTAGCGTAATAAACCATATAGGGAGCGTGTCACTGTTAAAAATGAAAGAGCGTGCAAATAAAACCAACTTTACCCCAATTCAGAGGGATAGTGGTGAATAAGCTAATGGCATTCATCCCCTAAACATCAAGTTAAACCCTTTGCTCTCTTTGTCCTAATTGTACCTCATTATCTTATAAGCAAACATAAAAGTTAAATACTGTTAACTTCCATTTTACAATGTTACATGCAATCGAATGTTTTTGTATTTTACAAAAGAGGATTCATACTGGAAAGTAATTAGAAATTGAGAATAATTCCCTTCTAAACAAAGTTGTATTTTGTTAAATGTGAGAAACCTGCCACTTTAGTAACAATAGTAGATTATAATTTAACACTTACAAAGTTGGCAGCATCCATGATGCCATCCTCCACAGGGTGTGTGCAGTCCAGGGTGAACTTTAAGACCTGCTTTTTCTTCTTGCCACCCTTAGTCACCTGCTTCTTCTGCAATACACAGACAATACTCAGACAAGCAGAATGAAACCTATAACCAGTGTGCATAAAAAAAGAAATAACTGCAATCCCGAGAGTGAATCTACACGAACACACTAAAGGTATGATTCTGCTATCGTTCCCTAAAACAAGAAAAGCGCCAATCTGACAACATATAAAACAACGGTCAAGTTAAACGTTTAAAATAAACAAAACATGTTTAAAAGCATATGAAAATGTGAAATTACACATTCGATATCGTTAATTTCACTTTGGGCTAACGTTAAGCTAATGATGGCATTTCGATTGTCAGTTAAGAAAATCGCTATAAATGCACATAAAAATCTAAATTCTCGATACTATCAATCTCAGAATTATCGAAAACAAGCAGCGTTTTGTTATCCTGTTTGTCTGATTTGACAAATGCTAAACCGCTAGCTGGACGTTGCTACAACGTGGTTATTCCGCGAGTAACGCTAGGCCTCGCTGCGGACCGTCAGTAAACAAACGCTTTTAAAAACATCTGTTTGACATATTTTCTTTCGTTAATCAAATTCATCAAGCGCACAATGGTTCAGCTTTAATCTCCATTGGTTTCTGCGAACACACAGGGACGTGACACCGTTCATTTTGTCGTTTTTCTTAAGCTTGCTCGTACTCACGATCGGGGCCATGGCCGACAGTTTTGGCAGAAAGGAAGAGGAGAAAAAGCGCATGCGCTTTGAAAACTTCCCGTTATAATCGATCCCAGACTAATCGATTTGATCCTTTATGCAGGGGTTCTTAAAGACTATCCGACTATCATGATGACAGTTGATAATCATTGTTTAGTATATTTAGATAATATACTTATATAATATATTAGAACTTAACTTATCTACAAAATTATTTTTCTCCTCGTCTTTTAAATAAGCCATATTTAAAGGGCTGTTTATTGTTCCAGTAGTGGTAGTAACAATAATAGGCCTATAAATAATATAACATCAAATACACAAAATATTTTGCTCTTAAATATTAATTTAATCAATATATTTGGTAGACTATAGCTAAACAATAAATTAATAGAAGACATCCCATTAACCCCACATAGCAGAATATTACTTGAAGGATCAGGTTTCTCATTTTTATCAGAGAGCAGTAGAGCTTTACATCTGGCAACCCTTTCAGTCTCCCGTATTGAGTTGCCTTCTGCCCCTTGGCATGAGGCCCCTGTTGAAGAGTGAGTCCCAACATTACTGTCATTCCGGCTCTAGATAGTGGTCAAGACCATAGTGTTAACCCGCTGGCCCTCCTGACACAAGCCGAATTTACTGCGTAGGCGACTGCCTTTGCTGGAAGTGTGAACTGCCTTCTCGTGCTCTAAAGCCACTCAGGGAGATATACGACTTCATGGATTAATTAAATGCACAAATAACGTTACAATATTTTTAGAATAATCAATATGCAAATTAATATTGGAAAATGCTGATTATTTGGAAAAGGTAAGCGATTTTTGCATTGTAAAAAAAGAGAGTGCCACACAATTCATTTATGCTGTCCCAACACAAATCGATTAAGTTAACTTAACAAATGTTAGTGGATCAAACATAAAATAATTAAGTTGTCCCCAAAAAAAAATCTCAATAATTTTCTTGTTTCTGCTTATTGTAAATAAGTAGTTTGAACAAACAGCAATATATTTATGTATGTATATTTATTCATTATTTTAGTGTGGAGATTGCGGTGTTAAATTGTCTCTAAAGCTAGCAAAGATTATAAAGATTACTTTCATAAATATATGTATATGTAGATTAATAGATTTAGCACTCACTTTATTTAAATGTGAATAAATAAATATGCACACGTGAGAATTTGCCAGTAAGGTTTGATGTGCAGAGACCTTTCACTATGTAGCTACATGATAGTGTTTTTATTTTATTTTTATTTGTGTGTGTGTGTGTGTGTGTGTGTGTGTGTGTGTGTGTGTGTGTGTGTGTGTGTGTGTGCGTGTGTGTGTGTGTGTGTGTGTGTTGTATAACAGTAAAATCATAGTTTTTGAATCATCCAATTATCCATATGAAACACATTTGTACATATAATAAACAAAAGTTGCACACTTGAGAACAAAAGTTTGGAAAAGTTAAACATTTTATATTCATTTTATTATAAAAAAAAGGATCATGTGACACTGATCACTGCAGTAATGATGCTGAAAATTATCTCTTTTTAGATATATTTTAAAACATGCAGTTATTTTATTTATCATTCATTTTCTTTTCGGCTTTGTCCCTTTATTAATCTCGGGTCGCCACCTCAGAATGATAATACCTTTTAGGTGCCTTTCAAAGCACTCAAGGTTATGAAGAGCTTTGTATGTTAAGAGGAGGATTTTGTATTGTATACGATAGTGAAAAGGGAGCCGGTGAAGGTGAAAGAGAATTGGAGTTTTGTGATCAGAAGTACGCGAGCAGGTAACTATCCTAGCCGCTGAATTCTGAATGAACCACCAACTTATTCAGAATATGCCCTTCCAGCTGCAACCCATCACTGGGAAACACCCATACACTCTCATTGACACCCAGACTACCCAATTCAAACTGGAGCACCCCCACGAGAACACAGGGAGAACATGCAAATACCAACTGGCCCAGCCGAGGCTCGAACCAGTGAACTTCTTGCTGTGAGGTGACAGTGCTACCCACTGCGCCACCAAGTCGCCCTACAGTTATTTTAAATTTTAGTAAACAATTTAGCAAATTTTTTCTTGTGTTTTGCATCAAATAAAAGCATTAAAAGTGAAATTACTTCAAGATTTTCACTGCCATGTTTTAAAATAATATAACAGAAGATTGCCTATAACAATTTTGTTTTAAAATATTATGAATAATTAAACCGTCTGTTAATTCTTTTCAGATGGCAGGAGGGATTTTCTGCTCTTAAAATGACCTGTGGGATCCAGACTCTGCCAGCCTTCATCCCCTCGTCTGTCACCTGTGTCATGTGCAGCACTGCCAGCTATATCTTCTGGACCGCTACCACATCTTTCTATGCCAGTTGCATGCATGGCAGGGCCTATAATAATTGCCTCAATTGCCCCCTCTGTGGGTAAGTACCAAACAATCACAAATGAGGAGAAAAATCTAAAGCAGTGGTTCTCAAACTGTGGTACGTGTACCACTAGTGGTACGCGGGCTTCCTTCTAGTGGTACGCGGAGGAATGCAATATGGCATGTACATGCTACATATATTTCAAAATTTATCAAAAATGATGGATATAGTATGCCATATATGACATATAGCCTATATTTCTGAGGTAATTTGCCACATTTTTTTACTGTGCAGAGTTGTAGCTGCTTTACTGGGCCTACTACACTACTGTATTTCAATACTGCTCATTTTGGTGGTACTTGGAGAGACAATTTTTTTCTGAGGTGGTACTTAATGAAAAAAATTTGAGAACCACTGATCTAAAGCATGCAAGTGTCATGTGGAAAAATAATAGTATAAAAAGTATGCAGGTATCCCGCTTGACCAAATAAATAAGCATATTTGACAACTGGGAAATATGTTGTGATACAGTATTAATAAAAAAACAGAAAAAAAGGGTTCAGTTCAGTTCTTTTGGCTCATTTTGTGTGGAACCGCTAAAGAAAATATGTACAGTTTGTCCAAATTACTGACTTTAAAAAGGCAAAAAATCAAAAGGAACAAGAGTAAATTCACAACCTGATTGATCAGGTGTACAGTATTTTATGACTGGACTTCTAACATCTAACAATTATGCATTTTTATCTTGCATAATTAGCAGATCAAGTGCTCCATCTTTGCAATTTCAGTTGTTCTGCACATACACTCATTTCATGTGATATAGCATTGCATTTTGTGAAATAACATTCTGTTTTGGTTCATTTAGATGTATTTGATTCATGTTGCATTCATAAATCAGTAAAACTGTACCCTGGTTTGTTTGGAGGTAAACAGAGACCATTAACTTTTCAAATTCTCTGTCATATGGAAGCATTCGAATGAACCACCAACCTGATTTCACTAAGTAGGACATGTTCCTGGATTAACATCTATGTTGATCCTGGAATATCATTGCACTCAGTCAATCAGAATTAATGGATATGTTTACTGTTTATGTAAGTTTAGGCTTACGGTTAGGTGTGTGCACTTCTCCATGATTGTTACCCAACTATTATTCCCCTCTGATTAGGGAATAATTTAAAGTTATGGCTGGGTTTAGGGGTAGGGAATAGGCATGAATTAAATTTTCCAACACAAATGATATTGCAGGATCAACATAGATGTTAATCCAGGATCGCATCATACTCGGAAAAATCATGACTTGCCAAATGAACTGCACCAACCAATCAACTGTACAAGAATTTGTTTTAATCGAATCAATCCTTCCAAATGTGAACACACCCCTACAGATCTGAAAAAAACTCTAGCTGGTTCATTGAGATCTCAGTGCAGAACAGGAATCTTTACCTCATTAATGTTTGGGGTGGGGGGGTGAGGAAATGGAAACCATGACACAAGTATTCAATCAGAATCAGCCACAACATGCTGAAGCCAAGTTAAATATGAGGCTCCACTGATTCTAGTTTTCTTCAAGCTGAATTTTGGGACAATTCCAAAATATCTTTGCCAAATCTGGATTTCTGTAATCTTTCTTGTACAACCCAGCCATTACACTTCTGTATATATGACTGTCAAGTCTTGGTTTGAAGAGCAGTCCAAGGTTTTTGATGACTAACATATGCTCTTCTCGCTGTCTGATGATGCATTTCATCCTTTTTTCTTATTTCATGTTTCTCCTTGTTGATCAATAACAACTATATTGTACATAAAGGCTCAATGAGTGCTGTTGCAAACATTAAAGAGATATTTAAACAAAAACTGAGTCATCATTTATATTTAACCTTGTTGTACTGCTGTCTGCTCCTATTCATTTTTTTGTATTACCAATGGATGTATAAAAAGTCCAGCTTTTGCTCATGTATTAGCAGTGAACAGAGACAAGCATGAAACATTTATAAAAAAGCACTAAAGCATTTGTGATGTGTCATATTGAAGTACTCTTTTGTATTGTATTGTTTAATTTAGATTCATGTTTTATCATGCTCATGTTTAATCTTGTACTGTATTAGCAAAATTGTACACTTGTGTGCCGTTAGGGCTAATGAAGTGAACTGCACTGCTAAAATCATTTCATGAAAGCTGTGTACAGTGGCTAACAGTGAAAGTCAGGATATCTACTCAATTACACTAAATTCAACCCCCCCTCCCCCCCCAGCCATATAATATAGGATAACGCATGTTGCATACACAAATATCCCTACATTAGTACTATTTTGCGATTCATGTTTTAAAATTTTTATTTATCCTCATTTATTTATGCTTTTGAATTGCATTATCGAAACTTAATTTTTCTTCTAACAACTTTTAATCGCAAAGTTTGAAAAAGTGACTTTTATTAACATTTTTAATAGTTTAAAGGGATATAATGTCTGGGTTGGTGTTGTATATTGTGGTGTAAAAACCTTAAAATAAACTCCCTTTACATTTTCTGTTATTTTACAGACTTATTTCTCTCTATATTATTTTTATATTATTTCAAACAACTAAAATGTCAATAAAAATCAATTTGTTTAACTATAGATTTGAATTCTCAACATCAAAAGACGACAGAGCAGAGATCAAGGTCTATG